AAGCGTATTGGACCGAAATGGTCAATATTACTATGATTGTGATGAAAAGCTTGCGTGATCAAGTAAATGCTTATCTTGGGATAAAGAATGGCACATCTTATCTTAAGATGGCATATGAAGAGGTATTATTTCCCGTCTGCTTCGCTGGCAAGAAAAAATATTTCGGTATATCGCATGAAGATGTGGTTAATTTTAGGCCAAATGATCTCTTTATGAGAGGAATTGATACTGTGAAGCAAGGGAATTCTGAGCTCTTCAGGTTTATCGGAGAAAAGATTATGTGGGAGGCAATAACACACGTTCAATTTGTAAAATTGTTGAAGACGCTCTCCGGGATGCTAGATTTAAGCAGTGGGATTTTAATCAGTTTATTGCAATGTCTAAATGGAAGGCTAAAGGAGATTTCGTATGCAATAAAATTTTTATAGAGCGGATGAGAGAAAGAATAGCAAGCGGAAAAAAAAATATAAAGATCCCTGACTCTGGCGAATGCTTTAGCTATATTGTTGTGAATGACGACCCTCGTTATAAAAAAGATGGTTCAAAATCGACAAGAAAGGGTGATTACATGGAGTTTCCAGAAATTGCAAAAGAGTTTAATATGAAGATAGATATCAGACACTATTTAGAACAAACAGTAGGAATGTGTGCACGTTTTATCAATGAGGATAATATGTTCCTACCACCCTCATCAGATAAAATAATGCAGATTAAAGATTCAGATATAAGAGAAAAACAGATCGATAAATATTCTCAGAAAAAGGCAAAAAACTGGCTTATTAAATATATCAAGAGTCTTCAATAAACTTTCTAGGTATTTTGAGAATTCGCCCAAAACCACCTAACTATATGGTTAAGTACTTTTAGCTGAAATTGCCATACCTCTGCTAGAATACTTAGTCGTTAAGACGCTTCGCATAATATTATTTACATATTTTTTTCTTCCTCCGGTCATGCAATAATACCAGCTAACTTCAATTCCTATCTTCGAACTTCCGGCCTAAGACGATCACTCTAAACTTCTGGCCTCTGATCATACAGCCCAACCTTGGAAATACCCGGAGATGATAAAAAATAGTTCCAGTTAGGAGAATAGTCAGTATTACTTTTTTTCCACGAATTCCATATCCTTCTCCCGATCATGAACCATATAATTGCAAGAAGTAGTAAGGTAAGTATGATATATATTAATATCGATGACATTAAGGAGCTTGCAATAATAGGAGCAGTTGCTGGTAAAGATATCGCTTCTGTGCCACCCACAGAAATTGTCTGGAATGTAGGAGAATTAAAAGCGGAAGGTTGTGATGGATTATTCATAGGCGGAAGTGGAGTATCTACTTCATTATGCGAAGTGTCTCTCGGCTCTTTTTTTGAGATCATCTCTCGGAGACGAGAATTTTCTTCTACTAAATTCGATCGTACTGAATACAAGGAGTCTAACGCTCATTTGTACATGCCATCTGATGACTCTTTCCCTTTTTCTATACATTCCATTTCATAATTTTTTGAATTTAGATCCTCCTTTACCCGTTCTAATTCAAGCCTAAGAGAATCAATTTCAGATGGGTCTATTTGGGCTGGCTCCTCTAGTAGTCCTCCCACTATATGCGAATCACATTCTAGTTCCAGATCTAGCAACTTACCTTCCAATTCAACTACCTTAGCTTCAAGAGAAAGGATCTTGATCTTGTCAGTGGATGAAGCTTTCTGCGCCAAAGTCGCCTCTCTCTTTAGTGTTTAAATATTTGATTTGAGCGATTTAATTTCAGCAGAATATTTGGCTTCAAGCTCAGAATGAAACTTCCGTTCATAAGTAATTTGGGATGTAAGCTTAGTATTTGCACCATTTAGCTGGCTAACCTTATTCCCGATATCAGCATAGAATCGCTGGAACTCCTTTTCTCGCCATGAATACTTATCTACCAACTTTTTGTTAAGATCATTGATTTCTGCTTTAGATTTAAGGGTAGAATATAATTCTTCTTCAAGCTTTTGCTCATATGCACTACCAAGCCTACGACCATTATTATTGATATCTCTCAATGTATATATATTGGTCATAGCTTTTTTTTGGCTTAGTTGCTAGTATATTAAAAAATATGTGATTGAAAATTGACTTAGGTACCTGAACGATGGTCTGAACTGTAAGAAAACTATGTCGATTTCCTGCTGAAAACTATTTTTATAGGATAGAAGATCCCATAGTACACATAGCATCGATACTTCTGATACTCCCAATACTCCTGATACTTCCGATACTTCATGTAGTATTAATTTTTTATACACATTTTTTACTAATACCACAAATAGTCTTCATACTATCCGTAGAATTAATCCTTCTGATACTCCGCATAATACTGGTTCTCTGCATAGTTTTGATACTACGTATAATTCACATAGTATTAATATTTTGCATACATTTTTTATTAATAATATGAAAATCTGATCGACTGCTAATATGATCAACCCCCTACCTAGAAGATATATGCGCTCTGATGCTACAAAATTATCTTCTGCAGATTACAAAGATATCATGCAATACCAAGATATGAAATCCAAGCCTCTAGATCAATTAAGAAAGAGATTCCATATATCAACTTCTCGTTTATATCAAATTTGGAGAGGACAGGAGGTAGGAAGGGTTGAATGGAACTATTCAGCTGTTCCACTTTCTTATCCAAGTACAAATGTTATAGATAGACAGAATATATCTGAAATCCCATTGGAGTGTAACATCATTACTGAAAGTAAGGAAAAAAAGACCGGAGGAAAGAAAACCAAGTCTAAATCTGTTCGCATCTCTGAGTCTCCTGTTATTCAGATTAAGCCGACCCCAGAAAGCTCTGAAGGCTTAAAAGGTGAAGAATTACATGCATTTTATAAGAATGAGACTAAGAGAGATGAAAAAATTAAAGCAGATATATCCTATTTACTAGCTATTACCTAATTATTTTACCGTTTGCTGGAGTAAACCATCTGTAATCTTTCACATAAATCATTGAGTTCTGCTTTAGACTTGATGGCGATATATAAGTTTTTTTCAAGCTCCTCATAACTCATTTTTTTTAATATATTATCGTCTTCACTTAAGTCCTGCAAGTCTTGTGAAATTCTATCTGGAGTTGAGAAAGCATCGCATTCAGGAGTAATGTTCGCGCAATTCACCTCAAGCTTATTCTTGACCTTATGCATATTGATTGGAATA